AAAAAGTTGACTGATAAGCCTAATAAGCCGAAAACAGACTCACCAAACGTGCTCCTAAATCCTATGAGTCTAACGACTTGTGTGCCATATTAATTTTGGGTACCACTTCTAGCTCATTTATCTGTTTGGGTTGTATATGTGGTTAATTTGTGATTATTTTCTTGTAATTACAATTTATGATTATGTTTTAGTGTTTCTGTAATACTATAAATAATTTATATGTCATTAGGAACACTTTTATATATTCCAAGTTGGTTTATATTGGTTGAGGCCGTGTATCCATATGCAACAGATTATATATTGACTTGTGTAACGGTCGGGGCATGCCCCGGTAGAGTTACTTTGATATGGATTAAGATGAGAAATACTGATATTCAATATGATACACTCCTTCCGTCCCATTTTAGTTAGTCAAACTTGACTTTCAAGTCAATGGTGTTCAGCTTTGACCGATTAAATATTTATATATAGAAGTATTGATAATATGAAAATGATCTTTGTTAAAACTACCATCATAAAAGTTCACAATTATTAAATTTGACATAAATATATTAGTTAAAATAATTGGTCAATAGAATGTTTAAAATTATTTTAAGATGTAAATATTTTTGTTGCTATATCCTAATGTAAAAATCTGTGAGGGAAGGATTAGCTTATGTTATGTCAAACTCATAAATCATTTTTGAAAAATGATTTAGGATACAGAAAAAAAATGAGCAACACAAATTTTTTTTTTATCGTGATGAGCAACACAAATTGATATATGATCTATTTTGGTAATTGAACTTTATATTTTAATAAAGCATAAGGAAAAAAATTCGTACACCACTACTAAAAAAGGTGGATATACAAGAGAGAACAAATTTATGTTTTGTAGTTTTTAAATAAGATGAACTGAATATGAATAATGGAACGTTGTCCATTTCATACAAAATGGATAAAATTGACATTTACCTAGCCCAAGAAGGTAAAACTATGCAACAAGTCGCACCAAAAGCAAGTGTATCACACGTGCATCAAACTCTTCATTTCAAGGGATTATATGCAAGTTTTTATAAAACATAAATGTGTTTTCTGTATTTTAAAAAACACAAGGGGATAGTGTGCATGTAATATTGTAATGTATAACATAGAGGGATTTGGTGCAATTTATCCAATTTTAGCTATGAGACATGATCAAATCGTTATTTTATTACTTTTATTAGCTACTTGATTACTTTATTTACTTTTTTTACGCCAATGACCTTGGTAAATGTCTTATTAGCCACTCTTTAGCTTGTTTGATCAACTTTAGATGATTTGACTAATTGACTCGTTAAAATACGGAGTAAATGTTTGGTAAACAGCTGCTTCAATTAGCTGTTTTATCCAAGCAGCCAAAATCCTACATGCCGCTAATAGTAGCGTTTTCAATTTTTCATTACTTGATTCCTTTTTCCTACACGTGTTGTGTGATCATTTGTTGGGGTTAGATCACAAATAATACTAATTACAATGATTTGGACAAAAATAAAGCTTCCAGTATTACTTACCGAAAAAGAGACCAGACGGTGGTCTTATCTAATAAGTTGGGAAGGAAATACCATATATGCCCTCCTAGTCAACATATTGCACGTATCCGATTCCTCCCAGCCATATCCCAGATTCTGCATATGCTAGCAAAGTAGCAAGGACCAATGAAATATAATTCTTTTACTTTTATAACCTTCACTTTACAATTATTTGATTACGATTTATATTTAATTGATTCCACCAATTACACAGCCGAGAAGTTATAGTTACGTGGGACCAGTTACAGTTATTCGACTCGTCGTCCAGTTACAGTGATCTGATTCGTCCAGTTACAATTACCTAACTCGTCCAGTTACAATTATCCGACTCATCCAGTTACAATTATCCGACCGTCCAGTTACAGTTACCCGACCCGTCCAGTTACACTTATCTGATCCATCCAGTTACACTTATCCGACCCGTCCAGATACACTTATCTGACCCCGTCCAGTTACACTTATCCAACACATCCAGTTATATTTACCCGACCCGTCCAATTACAGTTACCCGATCCGTCCATTTACAGTTACCCGATCTTCCAGTTACGGTTACCACCGTCCACCACCGGTGACCACCGTCCACCACCACAACCACTTCCGGCCACCACTGGTGACCACCGCCCCATCCTGTCTCGATTCCCCAGCCCCCTCCCTTCCCAATCTTCGGCACGCCACTGTCGCCCCAGCCAGTCAACCGGCGTTGCCAGTGATGACGCCGACCACCATAGTTACCGTCGCCCGCCATTGTAATCTTAGTAAGCGTCTCTCCCGGTGACCTTCCATCTCTCAGATCTGTTTTCGTCCGGTCAGATTTGGATACCTAGCCGCCTCTTCTGGTGAACTCCCATCTCTCAGATCTAATTTTGTCCGCCCAGATCTGGATATGTTGCCGCCATCGTTTCTGATTTGAAGAAGGTGAAAGGCTCAAAGCAAATGAGTGATACAGGCCAACCGAGCCTTCATCTGAGCGATGGAGTCCAACCATGAAGAAGAAGCCACGTGCGACGGACTTCCACGCGGAGTTGAGGAAGAAGACGACAGATTCGTCAAACTCGATGCCCCTTCGCGCTCAGTATCGCCCCGGCCATTTGAGCTCAGCGACGCCTCCCTGTTGCCAGACGGAAATAGAAGAAACAGAAAGATGATTGGGGAAGGCGCCAGTGGGAGAGATGAGCCACCGCCGCCAATGAGAAGATATGAGTTGCCGCCGCGGGTAAGAAGAGATGAGTTGCCGCCACCGGTGAGAAGAGATGAGCTGCCGCCGCCGCCGGTGAGAAGAGATGAGCTGCCGCCGCCGCCGGAGAGGAGATGAGATGCGCCGGTGAGAGGACATGAGCTACGTAGGTGGGAGGAGATGAGCTGTGTGGGTGGAAAGATAATAGATGAGCGGGGAGACGTTGCACAGTTATGGATCAAGGGTATTCCAGTCTGTCTGAATATGTTTAGTATCTTTTTTGTCTATTTTAAACTTGTTCTTATATTTGTCAACCTAAAAGTCCATAGTATTATTTAAGTCTTTATTTCTCATTTGCAGGGCCGGCCCTGGGGAGGTAGAATCGGTGCCACTGCATAGGGCCTCAAAAATATGAGGGCCCCAAATTTTTTTCTTTTAGTATTAGTATTAGGTGGTAGTCACCCCAAGTCCAAAATAAACCCAAAAGCGTAGATCACAAAACCAAAACGGAAGTACAGAACGTCGATTGAAGAAATAATAACGCAGCTTGCATCGAGTGCCTCTACGGGTCTACTCCTCTAGGCGTTAATCGCAGGCAGCAAAATGGCGTTCGCATCTAGGCCCCTGTCCAGCACCGCAGTACCGCACCTCCGGCAGTCCCTTCTCTGCCGGTTCAGCAGCAGCTGTCTACACGTGCACGCCCCAAGTCTCGAATCTCCATTGGCCAGTGCATACTTCTATAGTTCTATTACTCTATTAGACTGTTTTAATTGTTTTATATGTTTGGGAATTTCGATTATTAGCATAAACGTAGAGTAAATTGTTTATTGTTTATGCCTTAGGCCACCTAATGTATTACTACTACCCTCCCACTAAGATTGGGACGAGAGAAAGTGACACAATTATTAAAAAAAAGTATGTTTGTATGATTGATATTAAATTGATAAAGTAAAAATAAAGTTAGAATGATTTAGAGCCACACAATCTTTACCAAATAAGTTATGGGACAATCTTAGTGGGATTTCCTGAAAAGGTAAAACGGGACAAGCGGAACGAAGGGAGTATTTAGCTATTGTGGTTGTTTTTTATTTTTTGTAATTAATTGATGAATTATTAAATTATGTTTAATAATTTGGTATAAGTTATTAAGTAAATAATAAATTAATTATTTATGTTCTATCTCTCTTAGTGTTCGGAAAAAAGGCCCATTTTTTTAAGTCGCACCGGGTCTCTATTTTTTCAGGACCGGCCCTGCTCATTTGTTTCATACTTTTGTTGGAGATGCTATTATTAGTGTCACGTAGTATTCAATATATTATTATATTGCTACGGAGACAGAGTATACATTTGTTTCTCATGCTATTTTTCCAGCATTGTAATTAGAGTTTCGGAGTATTCATCAATACTTCGTATATTATTGTTGTTATAATTAGTGATGTTGTTATCATTTTTATATGATACTCCCAATTATTTTTTATATTGTTGTTATTGAATTAATTTTTTGATTTCTCTCCACATCTAAGTTATTTACATTATTTTGTTCTTTAGGTGGGGAACTTTTGCAAAAGTGGTGTAATGACATTGATGATGGTCTAATTTATTTCCATTTCTATTCAAGATTTCTAGGAATCTAGCAATTTAATGAAATGACTTGCACAATATGATTGTAATTGTATTAGACTAGTTAATTTTATTCTCAACCAAAGACGGTTAAAGAGTTGAGGAGGGTTTAAAAGAGTATACTTGCGGACCTTGCGGTTACTCAAATTATTTTAATTCTTACCATATTATTTTTATCCAATTTATTAATATATTCCCCCAACAGCTAATTTTACCAAATGGTCTTGAACAACTAATGCAAAATCAAAACAGTTAATACAAACCGCTGATCGAAACCGCAACTAAACGTTGATTACCAAACATGGTTACACACTTACACCGTTGCGTGGTCAGTCGCTCATATAAAATACTACGTACAACTTTTATTAGCTTTTTCACCGCAACTTTTATTATACAACGTACAACTTATCTTGCTCTCTATTTTACCCCTGTATTTAACTATAGCTTCAAAAAAATCGTCACAAATATAGACTTCAACAAGTTAAAACCTGCTGAATAAGTTATTTGCGGTTCATGCTTCTGATTATATTAATTTGACCCTTTAACCTTTTAAAATTACCATTTACCATTAAGACTTCAATAGTTCAATCTCCAGTGCTTGTGAGTTGTGATCCTTTGAATTGTCATAAATCAGCAACACCTTGGAGAATAAAAGGAAAATGACCACTTCTTGAAATTTCTTCTTTTATATATACCAAACCACCACAGCAAATGTACTGAATACTAATTGATGTCTTTACAAGTTTTAGTTGATCAAACCAGTTCAGTGGTCTAACATTTTCATTGTGCACTATCTTAGTACTGTACAGTAAAGGAAGATCTTCAGCGCAAAAATTTTCACAGTTTGCTGGGCTTACGCTGCAAATCATTTGTGTGACCAAAATTGGGGCTCCGACTTTTATGCCAAAAGTCCTCTTAAAATAACCTATATCCATGTTTAAAAAATCAATCATTATTCATATTCTTCGCCTATGAATCTCATCATTTAGAAGCCCTGCCACTAAGAATTGATCAGTTGGGGACGGTTTGTTTCGTAGTAAACTGTAAAATGCCTCGAGTTCTTCATTGTTAGCCTTCTTAAACAGACCACCAAGTGTTGGTTTAACACCCTCAAATTTTGTCTTTGGTTTTGGGTCATCTCCAGAGACAGAGCCTTCTTGATTGGGCACATGTGGCCGTGATTTCCAATACTCCAAAGAAGCCCTATCTTGGTCCATGGCTTGAATTTCCTATTTACAGAGGATTTCAATTTATTAAGCAATAGAAGTTCAATGCATTCCTACGTAATGTTGATCCACAAAAAAACTAGATAGAACTGTTCCACATTTCCTTTCTTAAATTAAGATCCTGCTAATAAACACTAGCTATATGTGCAACAGAAGAAAATGGAGTACTATTTTAATACGGAGTATTTGGTTTTACATTAAGTTACCAAAGAAAATCAAATTTGATTAAAAAAAAATTTAAAACTTATCGGAGTCTTTAAATAAAAGAAATACATATACAAATTACTTTTGAACTTTTAACAAAAATCTAAGTCAGATGTGTTCCCGGAAAATATATTGTCCTCTAACCAAATGGAGCCTAACCTAAAGGGCATTAATTTTTTCATCTAGAATAAATGTGCCACAGAATTAAAGATAAACAGCTTGATAGGGCCTACCTGTACGATTGCCGGGGAAGAAAGACCAAACATTTCTAAGCCATCAAGACTCCCAGGAGGTTGGAGGTGAGGGAGGTTTGTCTTTCCCATCATGCGCTGAGTAGTAATCTCTTTATTAAGTCTTTCCTGAACCATTGCCCAGCATTTGTTTGCTGAAAAATGGATAAATACTTCACTTGTACAATGCTCCAAAGAAACCTGAAAATTCATTTGTTTATCACCTTAAGGGTCTGTTTGGAACATAGAAAGGAAAATAGAGAACTTTGGAAGGAAAGAAAATTCGAGGGAAAGTAAGAAAAAATACGAACACTATTTTTCCCCGAAATAAGAGTTAATTACTCCTACTTAGGCAGAAAATATTGTACTTATATCTTGGAATTTCACATTATTTTCTCCTATTTAGGGAAATTTCTTAAAATTAATCCAACACTTCAAATTCAATTACCCAATTAAGTAATTTTTAGATATTTGTTCAAACTCATGTTATTTATATACAGAATAGTTCCATAATTTAATTATATAAAGACTAAGAAACCCAAATAAATGTAAAACTATAATTTGGTTAATATTTTATGTTCCTTCATATACTCCAAGGTCAAATACAACCTGAAACAATTGAAACTTTAATTCCCTTTCCCTATCACTTCCTGTGTTCTTACTTCCAAGTATCTAAAAAAAGTCTAGTTCATATTTATTCTTCAACTGTCAATTCTAATGCCTAAATTGATCACACCATACAACCAAACTATGAGTACATGATATTATTTATTACCATAAACACGGGTCCATGATGTCCTCCATCAAGAATTTCAGAGACATAGTAGCACGTGTTTGTTGGATCTAAAATGTCTATATATCGGGTACGACTCCTGAATCCTGCACAAGACAAAACACAAAAACTTATCAGCTGTTGAACGTTTATTACAGCCAGTTCTTGGATAAATGTTTTTGGAGGGGCTTGGAGAGCTTAAGCAGTGTTTGCGTTTGCTTAAAATAAGTGCTTTTCAGCTTTTAGATTAAAAAAAAGTTAAAAGAGGTGTTTGTTAAACACAACTTCTAATTAAAAAAAGTACTTTTAAGTTAAAATCTAGAAGCAGGGATATAGGTGCTTGTAACTGCTTCTAGGTTTTTTTGTAGATAACTCAACTTCCAAGGATAATTATAAGACACCCAAATCCCAAAATATCCTTCTGCCCTCTTCCCTGCTATGCTGCATCAGACTCAATTCCAGATTTTGCTTCTTCAATTCACATTCACCATGGAAGATGATCCCAGAACTACTAAGGAGTCCCGCTTGGAGAAATAGGCAGCTCCCCCATCCCCTATTTCGCTCACCTGCTTAGCTGTTTTCCAGATTCTTAAATCTTCATCTTCGAATATATATATGTTCTTGCTCCTAGCTACTGTTTTGCTCTTGCTTGGGTTGGGTGTGGGTTTTATCTTCTTTTCCGATATGATTTTTCTTTCTAGTTTGGATGCTTTCTAATTCCATGGGTTTTCTTCACAATCGGCAAATTACGGCAGAGAAAAGACACCGCATGGGTTGGGTTTGATCCTGAATTCCTGATCCCAATCTGCTATCCTTTTTAATTTTACAGGGTTGCTTTGGTAATTTAACAAGATATTACATTACAAATCACTTTTTTTATCAAACACTTCAACTTCTACATTCTAATTAAAATCACTTCTACTTACAAACACTATCAACTTTTACTACAAATCACTTTTACAATAATCTATTAAAAAAATCACTTTTAAAAAGCACAAGCAATCGCAAACACTCCCTTAGTCTATATCTTTGAGGAAAGAGTGTTTGTGATAACCATTATTAGGTGACGGAAATGTTATACGATCAAATATTATGTTAATCTTTCAACATTTATAACATCTCAAATGTTTATAAAAAAAATAGACTAAAGCCACTAAGCCTTCCATCCAAAGATCTAAGTAGGGGTGGCAACGGGTCGGATTTATATCGGGTGAAGGCTCATCCACGTCCACCCGTAAATTTTTCATATTCCACCCACCCGTCCATCGTCCATTGAAAATAACATCCACACCCAACCCATCCATCGTGAGCGGGTTATCGGGTGGATCGGGTGAGTAACGGGTGAGTATAAATGGTGTAACTTGAAAGACAAAATAAATAAATTATAAATGAAAATTGTGACAATTAAAAACCAAAAATTAAAAATTCATTAAATAATAACAACAAAAATTTGAGCAATTAAGTATATTACAATCATTATTTCACTGCAATAAAGAAAGAAGTGTTTGTCGAACAAAATAGACATAACTTTTTCAAGCTGTCAAATCCTACATTTCTGCATCGGCACAAAACTATTTTTGTAGTTCAATTGCCACTTCTTGAAACTCTTCAATTGTCTTTATTTCACCAATTCATAGATATGTGTCTTCTTCATTAAGAAATACACATATCTATTACTCCATAATACATTAATATTAATTATTATATTTATTATTAAATAGATATTATATATAATATAATATATATTTATTTTTATATGCGGGTTAGCGGGTGGGTGGATGGAGCGGGTTGGTGGATGGAGCGGGTGACGGGTCGGGTGATGGATTGGATGAGTGTTCATCCACACCCGATCCAACCCGTCTTTCAATCCACCCGTCATCCATTTTTCATCCATATTTTTTCGGGTTTTCGTCCATATTTTCGGTTTGGGTTGACCGGATATCCGCGGGTGCGGGTGATATTGCCAGCCCTAGATCTAAGAGAGATTCAAGGATCATACCCCTTGGATAAATAGCCCGAGCATCACACCATAACATTCCAGGCTGGATAACTCCATAATTAAGAACTTCAACATTGCAATTGATCCTTCTCACAACTTTAGCAATACGCAGACCCTTTGGTCTGAAACATCTGTCCAAGTCATTTTGTGTTCCAGCTGTGGACTTTGACTTTGCATCTACATCCAGCTTCTCGGCATTATGAGAGCCCTGAGAACATTCTAGAGCACAACTAGTTTCTCCTTGAGAATTCCCAACAACAGTTGTCTCAGTCTCATCTACATCATCATCACTAAGGACTATGACATCATCCTGGGAATTTGAAGCATTTACTCCAGATTTAACTTCAGTACCAAAGCTTTTATTAGGCAGAAACTTTTCGGGAATGTGATTAACTTCAGTATGATTAACTGGTCCGGTTAACTCTTTATTGCTTATATATGAACTCATAGACAGCCCGAGATCTTGCCTTGCCCATCGATATATGGAACTTAACTTCCCTCCCAAAGCTTCAACCAATAGATTTAACTCAGCAATACTGTAACGGAAGAGGAAGAATCTGGAAGCCTCAGGACATGAACACAACTGTTTTGCGTGGTTCAAGCATGCATATTTTGTTGGTGAACACTTGTGGCAACCTGCTGCAGAAAGATGCAAATCGAAGAAGCATATGTTGCATTCCCTCTCACATGTAGCATCAAAACTGCTTTCCATCTTCAGTGTTTCTGAGGATGTGCAAGTAAATTCCCTCCTCACCCTTTCTGTATCAACACGAGTCTACAAAAAAATAGTGATAAGGCAAGCTGTAAACACCATACAATTCCAGTTCTCATTTCTGCATATTACAGTCCCACATTATAGATAAAACTCAAGAACACAATTGTCTATAAAAAGGATTTTTCCTTTATATTTGATCACATTTATTTCTCTGACACTATATAAACTATAAATGTTAAACTGGACTGTCAACACACAAAAAAAACCTCAAGAGATCAAGGCTTACAGTTTACCACACACTTATGTACTAGACTTATAAACAACCATGTCCGATCCAGTGGTCCCCATCAACCCATATAGTAATGAACAACTGAAAGGTGAACGAACAGATGGACCAGACCCCAAAAAAGCTGAAAACCATTGAGTGTGAGATCCAGACCACCGTTAGGCCAAGTTCAGGTACCGTGTTAAATTAGGTCTAACTCACTCTAAACTCTATATCTTGAAGATCCTGAGATCTTCAAGATATAGATTTAATTAACAATCCAGTATATGACCAATGACCAATGTGTTAACTGATAATCAACCAAAAAACCAATAAAAAATGTATATCACGCAAAATTACATACCAAAACTGCAAGTCCATAAACTGACATAAATATAGGAGGAAACAAACATGAAGAAGCAAGTATTTACCTTTAAAGCTTGAGACAGAACCCCATCCTTTCCGCAAACATTCTTCCATCTCAAATTAACTGAATTTTTCTTCCTAAGCAAACTAAGTTCCCATTGTGCTTTGACTGCATCTCTTGCTGCTCCAAACAACAGTTTATCGTGTGAAATGGATGTCCTACGTCTTTGACCAGAATAGAGCTCTATAGCATTATGTCCATGGGGTAACCAGTCCATTGGAGCTACATTTACTGCTTCAGCACAATTGAATCCACAGTTGAAACCAGCATGATATGCTCTAGGGAAGGTGAGAACAAATTCCCCAGAGTTCTGAACGCATCGATAAACAGGAACTCCTTCGGACTTTAGTATGGAAGGGGAGAGTTGTGTGACCTGCCATAAAGCGGAGAAGTTGAAGAGAAGAACTTCAATTTAATAAAAGTACCATGAGAAGCAAACACCATTCCTGTTGAACGTGTATATCACTTTTTGCATTTAGACAATGATGTTTGCGTGATAACTTCCCAAGTGTTGTTAAAAAGGAAAAAGAGAAAAACTTTAGATGCTTCCTCCCAAAAGTTATCCTATAGTGAAGTAAAAGGAGCCACTTTTATCTTTTGGAAAGAATTGTAAATAAATAAACGGTAGATATATCACTCATTTAAAATATCAAATTTTAACTAGTTGTAACTTTTAAATGCCCAAAACCAACATCTAAAGGGGCAGCCCGGTGCACATTGCTGTCCCCGCAAGGCTAGGGTCCAGGGAAGGGTCCCACCAAAACTAACATCTAAAAAGTTTGAAAAAGAAGAAAACTAGTGATAAGCATTCGACAAATGAATTTGGATAAAATAAACTGCATAGAGGTGTTCTTCTCACAAGCTTATGAAGCAGGTCTGGCTGCTCGTCGAAGAGGTTTGGCAAGTGCTTCTTCATAGTTGCTTCAAGGTTTAAAGCATCTGCCCCAGGAACACCATACCACATTTTTGGAGCTCCCAAATGCATATAATTCAAAGAGTACAGATGGTGGTCTTCAACATGCTGTAATTTTAGAAAATTATAATTAAAATCATCTAACCAGTTAAAGAACAGAGTGCTGATAATGAAAAGCTAGTATAGTTATCTTCCATACCCAACAGAAAGAAGAAAAACACATTCCTACATAAAGCCAAGGCACAAGAACACCAGATATATCACTGCTTTCATATGAAAGAACAGAACCAGGAAGTTTTGGAAAGTTGTTCAAGTTCCATCCTGAGTTTATGTATTTCATATCAGCAGCACATCTTATTTGATGAGGTTGTTTAGGAAACCCACTGCCAAAAGTTCCAGTTTCCAAATCAGCCCCATAAAGCACCTAGGGAGTGAAAAGGGTATAAGGAGAGTGAACTTGTGAGCTATAACATCACGAATGCAAAACTCAATTTGAATATATACTCTGTAGATCATTTGAACATAGATCCGGCAACATAAAAAGGCCAACAAATACACATGTGCATAGAGAAAACTAAATGAAAATTAGGAAGTAAAATTTTCAAACCAATAAATCATTTTGAAAAGAAAAAGGAGTACAATTTGGAAGTAAAGAGAATCGGAAAGAAAATAAAAAAGATGGTTCAGACCAAGAAATCAATTTTGCTTGAACACGATTTATTCATATATGTTTGAGTTATATAAATTCGAATAAATTCCACTTTTGGTCCTACGAGTTTTATGTCAATTCCACAGTTCACTTCTTTCACTTTGTCCACTTTTGATACATGACTATCGTGTTTTCGCCCATATATAGTCCTTTTAGAAAATCCATTTTTGGTCCTACGGGTTTCCTATCGAGTTTTATGACAATGTTTCCGATGGTTAAAATCACCGGAGGACCACAAAATGGTCAAAAAACACTAGTCAAGTATCACAAGTGGACAAAGTGAAAGACATGGACTAAATGCGGAATTGACATAAAACTCGTAGGACCAAAGTGGAATTAATTCTATTAATTCCAAGATTGAGAAAACCAAGTATATGTAATAAAAGCATAGAAGTTATTCGTAGTATTAATTTTGTATTTTCCAAGGTAAAACCAAACATTAAAAAACTATTTTCCTGGACACTTTTTTCCATTGCTAAAATTTTCTGTAGCCTATAAAAAGGGGTAAAGAAAAATATACCTCAACTTCTTCAGTGGGTTTCAAGACCATACGCCAATATTCACCCTCAATAGTCTCCACTGGAGGCTTCCATTGCCCTTCATACTTCCCAAAATATTGGGCAATGAAATCATCAGCATATTTCTGAAATGAATCTAGAGTAAACTCTGGACCAGATTCAAACCCAAACCTCTCAGACTCATCATTAGTGGTATCATCGTGAGTCTTGATATTAGATTTATTGCATCTCCGTCTTTTCCTTTTCTTACTGTGAATGACTTTTGCTTTTTTTGACATTGAATCCCGATTTTGAAGTTTGTCAATCCTTTGTATACGAGTGCTAAATTTAGAGTTTTCCCATATGCCCTTCTCCTTGAGAGAACATGGAGGTTTCCATGAAGCAGGAGGTACAATACGGCAAATTCCATATGCTTCTGCTCTGGGTCGTATTCCGTCTATATATGCTAGAGTATCTTCAAATTCCTGGACACCAATGAATTTATTTCAGCTTTGAATTTTAAGAAATTTAAGAGTTAAGTAATGCTGCTCCCTCTGGTGCTTACTATAAAAGGAGTTAATTGTCCTTTTGTAAGGTATTGTGTTTTTTTTCTGAGTTTTTTTTATTGTTCTTTTCCCATGCCTTGCCCCTAATAAATACTGTATACATGTTTAATTAAGAGGCAGAGTAAAAGAAGAAACTGGAATATCATACTACTCTTTAAGTGCTCAAGAATATCAAATGGTTCCCATGGTTTATGTAATTAGGTCAACTGTGCCTTCAAATAAAGACTGGGCAGGGTCAGGGAAAGTGGATAAGGTAGTACAACAATTGATAGTAATGACCTCTTCAGTTGGATAGAACACGGGCGCTTCTGGAAGATCAACCCTGCAAGCTCCTTCTGGGCGCCATTGTGCAGAAACCTTTAGACAATTCCTATCATCTCCACACTCATGGAGAACCCCTTTAGGTAGATGTGGCCTTACAGGGATGCTCTGTAGGTTCAAAATAACATATTAATAAGTTCAGTTAAAACAAAACAAAGGTGGATATGAAAACTGAGTTATTACAACTCAGCAGTCTCAACCTGCTCGGAATCAGATTCATCTTCTGAACTGTTATCAAACCGGTCATACTTTATCCCTGACCGCCGTCTTAGACACTTTACATTTGCGCCTTCAGTACGTTCATATTCTGTTTCCACCTTGGGTCTCTGAAATTGCAAGTTACTTGTAGGGGATGAGCACATTGTTTTATTTGTATTATCGTTCTCCTTTTTTAGGGTCATGGATGCAAGTGATTCAAAGCCAGGGGGGAGTGTGGATATCTTTGTAGCCTCTTCCTTTATGTGATGTCTCATAAGTTCAATCCCCATCAAGACTGTTTAGCCAAGACAAATCACAACTTACTAATTTCAAAATCCGTAATGGTAGCATTAGAAGATCACCAATGATAAATATTGTATGATCAGAAGGAAAATTTTCGAAGAGAATAAAAAACAGATTATCATCAGGGTGACATTGAAATAGATGATCCATAACAATAGCAATAAATCTGTATAGTATGTGTTATTTGAACAATACATTCAGAAGAAACATGTGTAAGAAAAACATAAAAGTATCATGATGAGATTGAAAATATACACTTACATGTGATTGATCCAATGTGATACAGAACAGAGCAAACAGTTCTTTATATATATAAACACCTGCATGATCAACCATATTGCAATAACAATTCAGATCATTGATTTCATTAAATCAAACAAAAGTTTATCATAAAAGCTTTATGAATCACAAACACAGCATACAATATTCATGTGTGTTTGCATACACACACAACATGTATTGCTTACATTTAAAAGAAGATCTAAAAAGAAACCCTAACCCTAACCCTAACTCAAAAGAAGTAAAATAACATATTATGGTAACCCCACCCGGATAAATCAATCTGTCTCCGGGTAATCCAGATAGTTCTGCTTTGTGTTTATTGTGACATAGAGAGGAGATCCAGTTTAGAGGAATTGGGTAGTTTTGTCAACTTTGTTTATCTTATTATTATATTTATTTATTTATTTGGATAAAGGCAGCACATATTGACGGGAATGTATGAAGTTTCTTACGCGGAATAATGGCAAACGTATTGATGAATATCATCAATATTATGGATTATGAATAAAATAAGGAAAGATAGAAGGTAGAACACTGGTTCAGGAAAACAAACAACCGAACCTAATCTATGGGCACAACCATTTTTAACCTTAAGTCCGAACGGAGGTTCAATTTTTATGGTTTTTAGTCTGGATCACAGTTTTAAACGGGTTGAAAATAATTACCTTAATAATTTGTCTCGGTAACTCGGTTTAATCGGTTTGCTTTAGCTTGGGTTGGCTATTTTATTACTCCGTATTACCTTGTTCCCAGCTACATTACGAAACGATATAAAGAATAATTTAGAATAAAATAAATTTATTAAATTTGATTTAGGACACTTTTAGTGAAATAGACCGAAAAGAAAAATTGAGACGATTTATGTGGGGCAAAGGGAGCGTTATGTAAATATTCTTTATAATTTTGTCAACTTTTTTTATTGTTTCACTAATTTTATCGTTTTCTCTTTTAAATGAAAATTTATTGTTTATGTTGTTTTTCTCTCTTCTGCAGAAACTTTAGAAATGCAATTTTACTTCAACATTCTACGTGTCAATCAACTTTGGTGTAGTTTATAGGGACAGATGGAGTACATAATACATGTATAGGCCTTTTGACAACACTGTTTTTCGGCTTATCAGACTTATCAACCAATTTTTTTACCAAACACATAACTTTTGCTTTTGCGCGCTGAATTGTGTAATAAGCAAAAAAAGTAAGGTTGAGGTTACTTTTCTGTCTTATTGGCTGAAGTTACTGTAGATGATCATTTTAGTAATTTTACATATAATTTTTTCAATATTTTATTAATAAAATATATTTAAAAAAGTCTTAAATCGGCATAATCATCCAATGCAGTCACTTCAGTCAGAAATTTATAAATTTCAACAGAATCAGTCAAATCAGCTCATTTCCGTGCTACCAAATGGGCTTCTAGTATTTTAGTTTTATATTTTTATTGAGTTTGAAAATTGGTTCAGTTTTATTCAAGGTAAAATATGGCAAGCTAAAATATTATTTTTTTTTTGGGAAAATCAAGCTAAAATATTATTAACAAATTAAATTCAAATAGCATATAGTACATTATTAAATAAATTCATATTCAGTTGAATTCAACTCCATCCAACCGAACTAAAGTGTCGGCGTGACCAATTCCCTCTCAAGTGGCGGTCAAGTCCCACACATATGTATCTTTTGGCATCGTTAAAGGCTTACAAATATGGCAATGTATAGCCAGAAATGAGAAGTTTGGAATACAAGTAAAATTCGCTTCCAATCTTTTTCAAAATACTTGTACCGCTTTGCTGGTCCATCCAAAATTTGAGGAACTCTATTTTTAACGTACTCCCAATTAATTTCGATCCCTTTTTTTATAGCAAATTTACTAAAAATCACTTTCATTTCTAAATTAAGTAGGGTTGTCAGGGCTCTCTAGAAGGAAGCTGATGGTCTAAAAATCTTTATATACATTGTCGTGGAAGTCGTTCGACTTGTGTTTTCTCTTTCAACCTACGGAGTACTAGATATTTTTACGTTTTAGACTTAAATATTTGACATTTAACTAATTAAAATATATTACAGGTTCCAAAGTGGCACAATGTGTTGATTTTGATGTTTGCTCTTTTTGCCAACTTGCTTTTTCTCCTTTTAAATTTTTTAATTAATTATTTTCTTTTTGTTGTTACCTAATATTCCCTATATTGTATCATTGGTTGTATAGTGACCGCCGTACAACTAGTGACATTTTTGTAAATTAAGTGAAAATCTTGACATCTGCTAAATGAACATAAATACATTAACTGTAAAGCTGGAGCAGGCTCCACGTAGCTGGAGCGCGCTCCAACTAGCTGCAGCGCTCCAACTAGCTGGAGCGCGCTCCAAGTAGCTGGAGCGCTCCAAGTAGTCGAAGCGCGCTCCAAGTAGCTAAAGCGCTCCAAGTAGTTGGAGCGCTCCAAGTAGCTGGAGCGCGCTCCAAGTAGTAGCTGGAGCGCGCTCCACGCAGCTGGAGCACACCAAGTAACTGGAGCGCGCTCCAGCCACGTGGCTGGAGCGCGCTCCAAGTAGTAGCGGGAGCGCGCTCCAAGTAGTAGCGGGAGCGCGCTCCAAGTAGTAGCGGGAGCGCGCTCCAAGTAGTAGCGGGAGCGCGCTCCAAGTAGTAGCGGGAGCGCGCTCCAAGTAGTAGCCGGAGCGCGCTCCAAGTAGTAGCCGGAGCGCGCTCCAAGTAGCGGGAGCACGCTCCAAGTAGTAGCTGGAGCGCGCTCCAAGTAGTAGCTGGAGCGCGCTCCAGGTAGCTCGAGCGCGCTCCAGGTAGCTCGAGCGCACTCCAGGTAGCTCGAGCGCGCTCCAGGTAGCTCGAGTGCGCTCCAAGTAGCTAGAGCTCCAAGGGACCGGAGCGCGCTCCAAGGAGCGGAGCGCCAAGGAGCCGGAGCGCGCTCCAAGCAGCCGGAGCGCGCTCCAAGTAATTGGAGCTGGCTCGAAATAGTTGGAGCGCGCTCTAAGTAGCTGGAGCGCACTCTAAATAGCTAGAGCGCGCTCCAATATCATCTTTAGCATTCTTAGTTCTGAATATCTCAGAAAGTGAAATTCCTTCCACAAATAATTGTTTCCTCTGATCTGCAGGTTGAATAAAATCAATAAAGCTGATTTTCGAAGCCCCTTGAGGTATAAGGGTTTCAGTAAAAACTTCTTCAATGCCACTATCACAGTCAGGATCCTCCTGAATACCACAATCTCTCTTAGAGGAAGACGGAATGTTGCAAATATCCAACTGTCGTAACACAGGCTCCAGATCATCAACTTTCCCTTTCCCTTTTATCTTTGTGAAATCTAATTTGTAATATTTGTATCACCTTTCTCCCCTTCTCCTATCCCCCTGTTTGTAATAGTGATGGGCTGCATCTCCAATGTAGGTTTAGGTTTAGAGACCCACTTTAGACCTCCAACCAGACCTCCATCCAGACCTTTCTCCCCTTCTCTTGTCCCCTTGTTTGTAATATCAATGGGTTTAATCTCCTTTGTAGATTTGGCAGCATTATTTTTTTTAGGACATGAATTAATGGAATGCCCTAAGTCCACGTAGTGTCCACAATATAGTGGCTTGTTTTCATAGGTCACTGACTGCAAAAAAAACCATGAGACTCATACTATATCCAGAGCTTATTAGGCACCTCCTTGGATAAGTCCGCTTCAACACAAGCCCTGGCCATAGATGGCCTAAACAAGGATGTCGTAACAGAATCAATCTTTAAGGGCCTACCGATTAGACTTCTTATGGAAGAATCTGGAATTAATTCGCCATTTGGTATTCGGACAGATGGTTCAGAGGGGTGAGTCAAAATGTCGAAGAGACCATCATAATCACAAGTGATATGTTCACTTGCTCCGGAATCAATGATCCAAGTGCGAGTGTGTGGCGAGATCCCTGCCATGTCGAAGCGATCACTCAAGGGACATAAGTATATATGAATATAATCTGGAGTAAGATTGACTTCCAGGTTTTGGCTCTGATACCATGTTAAATTTAAGAATAGATTTGAAATGAAGAAATTGAAATAAAGTACTCCATGATCGAGAAGAAATTATTCTCACACTTCTTGATATTAAACCTCTGTATGCATGCCTATATATTACAATGTATGAGGAGAGTACGATTGGGGAGGTAGAGGACTATTGCAAGTGGTGTTGCATGGAACATGCAATCCACATAAGGATTTCTAGGGATCAAGCTACAAATAATATCCCAACACATGGATTATATAATAATAAACTATTAATAATAAATACTAAGTATATAATATTCAATATGAACCGCTGAAATTCATTGATTTTATTATAAGGAGTTAAAATTTTACTTCAAAATTTTATACTTTGAGACTGAATTATTTTCAATGACAGTTTGATCCGCTCATTGCCTCCTTTTTTCCAATCCTTACACCTTCATTGTAAAATATCTGATCTCTCTGGTTATACTTTCGTGAAGGTGTTCTTTCCGCGGCCTTCGTTCTGGTAGTGGCGCTTGGTCTCATTCTTTCAGCTTCGAAAACTTTTCCCACGACGACTGACTAGGAACTCAAATGAATGCTTCAACAGATGAGGTATGTGAAGGTGTCTTTAATTTTGTCCTTTTAGTTGATTTCTTTGATATATTGTTTCAGTAATATTCGAATTATTGAAACTAAAGCATATCCTACTTCCACATTCGAGTGGTCTAATGTTTGACACGCTAGTCATTTCATCATCAGTGAGATTTTATTCATGTACTCCGTATGTATAAGATCTCTTGGATGCTTTTTTTAAGAATCGATGCCACTGTGTTGTTAACCTCAATTACACGAACTTTTATTTTTCTGAAAACAATTTCAATTGTATGTTGTTTCTATTTAATTTTTGGAAGGAGATTGCTACGCACGGTGATAATAAAAGAACCCAACCAAATCGAAGCTATGTGACTAGTTACTACTTAATTTTAAGTGATGTTTGAAGTTAATATGACTGAACGCTTATATATACCTATAGTACTATACTAAGCATGGTATTCACGTTACCCGACCCTCTGAGAAGCATCTAATTATTCGTTGTGGTTGCTGCTTTCTTTATTTCTATTGTTTATAGTCTGATGGTGAAGGCTTAGTCCACAGTAAAAAAAATAGTATTTTCCTTTTCATATTTGCTCTCTTAAAAACTAGAGATGGCATTTTAGCCTTTAGGAGATGAAAACTTTAAAAACAATATGATTTCAAGTTTTCAATCATTTGCTTTTCAATTTTTCTCTGCTCTAGAAAACAGCATGTAATTTTCTAGGAACAGACATGACCAAATTAAAGGAATCGTACCCGAGGGAAGGACACGGTATATATGGAATTGATATTGACACCCGCATCAAGAAAGAACTTCAGGGTTCCGGTTTCGAGAATCTTTTCCAAAAGAACCTGGTCCTGGAGAATGAAAAAGCCTTCCTGCATGCACTTGTAGATGTGTATAATCACTCAAGCCACTCCTTCAAATTAGGAGGTAGACAACATTCTTTATCATTTAGCTTAGAAGATGTACTGATGCTCTATGGCTTACCAATTGACGGTAAGCCAGTTGTACTAGATGAAGGGTGGGACTATTTGGATGAGAAAAGATGTCAACTACTACTGGGTTGTGGTTGTGTTGTGTATAATTCAAGGATACGGGTGTAACCAAAAAAGATTTGGTGAATGTCGTCACTGTTGAAAATATGCCCTAGGACAATCATAGTTTATGATTTATCAATAAATATTTAATGCTAGTTAATTAATAAAGTCACAAACTCATTTTATGTTAATTATTATTGTGAGTTGTCTTTATTAATATTTAATCCCTGAATATTATGTTTAGTAGCTAATTAAGTACGTGACTTAATTGTGGAATGCTACACTCTAAAATAAGCATAATATTCTAATCGTCTCTAGTCTAATATTATTAATTTGGGACATTAATAATTAATAGACCAGTATGTGGATTAACTGGTGGCTATATTCCACTAGTCATGGGTATAGAGATATCAAGTTAATAACATAGATGCTTGTTAGGGAACAAGTTCATTGGACAGACCCAACTTGAGGACACTGCTAGGTTATATGTCATCAATGTTGTCCTCAATAATGATGAGGTGTTATATTCTTATACTTGACATAATCATGGTTACTTGCATGGGAATTAATATGTATTAACATCATTAAATATTATCTTTAAATAGATAATTATAAAGGTGATGATTGTTTATATTATGAACCATGTAGTAGTATGTGAATTATCAAGATAATTTTCATCACTCTTGTATAGCGAGAGAAAAATATCTATTGAGCCTCTTGACAAATAAGATTAATTAGCATGGTCATGCTCACATGAGGTGTCATTTGATCAAGAATAATCTTACTTGGTAATCAAGAAATACTAATTGAGAATGACAAGGATGACACGGCCTAACCTTGTCTCAATTAAGATATCGTTTGACAAAAGAGAATTATTAGCACAAATTAATCATTAAAAAGTTATGTCAGATTTAATTGACATTTATATATTTTTGGATAGTCATAATGCCTTGGTAGAGGCCGCTTATGATTTGTGAGGCTCGAATTAATTTCTAGCTCACTGCCAATAATATATAAACCTACAGGATCACACACCTAAGTGATTTGGATCATTAATGTTTGTTAATAACATGAAAATAGCCCGATTAGCCCAATTTGAAATAGGGTTTCGAATGGTATTGGGCTAGGGCCTCTAGGAGAGTTTTATTAGCTATAAAACTCCTTCTTTCCTCCTCTTATAAATAGGGCTATATAGACCCACGAATTTTAAGAGTTAAAATTCACTTCTTAAACCTAGAGTAGATAGGAAGAAAGAAGAGAACGCTAGCACGTTCCTTGTGGCCGATCCAGTCACGTGCGTGTGGATACCGGTAGAGCTCGGGATCGTTTTCTCGGATTGTCTGACATCCTTAACTAAGATTGCTATGTAACTCCCTCTTATGTCTTGTAATTTCGTTTATAATATGAACATCAGATCCGATTGTGTATTTTTGGGTAGTAAAATTTTCATTTATTCTGCTGCGTTTTTCTACCCGAAACTCAAGAGTGGTATCAGAGCCTACGGTTCTTTATTATATTCGGGTTACACGATTTGATATATAATCTATAATTTGATTATTTTGGGATTTTTTTTTCGGAATTAATTTTTTATTAATTTCGAAATTATTGATTTATTAATTTTGGAATTTATATGTGTATATTATATTCCGAAATTTTTGTGAGGATGTGATATTCGAATAATTCAAACTTGATCCAATATATATGCACAATAATATTTGGAATGTTTTGTGATAATATTTATTTTTACGGATCAGATCTGAATAAATTAGGAATTGGATGAAATCCTACAGCCTAATTATTCGGAATAGATCTGAATGGACATGAAAATTTAAGAGTTTGAATTAGATTCAAATTGATACTCATAATTTATGTTAAGAATATTTTATGATATTATTCATTAATTTTCGGATCAGATCTGTATTGGATTAGGAAATTTATTTTTCGTAGGTACGATATACTCCGTATTTTTTGGCACTGTATTCCTACCTAATGTGGTTTCTCAATCTGTATTGTGACTGTTTTTTATATTGATATCAAAAGTTAGTAATCTGGTTCGTATTAAGCTTTAGATTTGCTTTTGAAATTGAGGTATGAATGATCTAAAATATATTGATTTCCGAATTTGAAATCAATAAAAGATTGAATTTACATCTGTTTATATTCTGGATATTATTTTAATTTTGGGAGATTTGGTTTCTAATTTTTCGGATGAGATCCGAATTATTTTTGCAACCGCTGGCTGATGAGCTGTTTTTTTGTATCGGGCAATCTTGTTTTGGCCGTAACTTTTGACTCGTTAATCCGTTTTCGGTCCATAAGTACTTTTCGGAAACGGGAAGACGAGCTCTACAAAAATCAAAGCAAAACCATGAAAAATTCTCCCATATTATAATTCGAATGGTTTGATCAAGTTTTCTGCCAAATTCGAATTTTAGTTCATTATATTTTATTCGTAGTTATATATGTGTACTATTCTATATTACGAATATGATCTGTACATGTGTATATATAATACGAATTATTTTAGAATTCATTAATATGTATTTTAATTTTTTTGGATGAGATCCGAATTAATTACATATTACTTGCGAATTTTAAAGTTTAATTTTCAATCCGTGCATGCACAATTATTTTGTTTCGTCACAGGGACAATTTGAATTGGCGGTATAGCATGATCCGAATGTATGTTTCATATTATGTTATTTTACGACCTGCGTGTCGTTTCCAACTATCCCCTGTAATATTTTTCAACCCCGTAGATATTTAGTAGTATACTACACAAGTTGAAGATACCAAGGAGATATGAAGATTTTTGGGATCATGCTATATCATTGCATTAGTTTTTAAATTATTTATTTAAATCTATGATTACTGCATGTGTGTAATTATTAGTCCCGACTAATTATAAGTCTGAATTACTTTCCCAATATGACCACCATTTAAACTATGCTAGTCGTGATATGTGTCTGCCAAAGCAGAGCATTTCACACTATCTTAGGAAGATGTTTTGAATGATCGTCATTCTCGGGTCTTGATATTGGTTTAGACTTACAAGGCCATCAAAATGGTTTTGGGTCTTGAAGCAAGGAGTGTTTGGATAATAAAATGATGTTGACCAAACAAACCAAGAGTCATATAGGATATGATTAACAAGAGTTGTTTACCTAAATAACTAATGTTTAAGTGATAAGCCAAAGCTTACTTAAATTTTAGTGAAATATGGATCTTGGACCGCTATATTTGGGACTTTTTATTTAATATAGTGGGAGTTATTTTTGAGCATTATTTAAAATTCTTTGCATTATTTGTTGTAGTAAATATGGCCACCAACACATTTTTTTCACTGCGATCTATCCTTGAGAAGGAAAACCTTAATGGAACAAATTACATGGACTGGGATAGAAATCTGAGATTTTGTTCTCAGGCAAAGGCGTAAAGAATATATCATTGACCAACCAATTCCTGCTGAACCAGCTACCAATGCTCCTAGAGCCACTATAGATGCTTATGAAAGGCATGTCCGTGATGAAGTTGATGTCATTTGTCTGATGTTAACCATCATGGAAGCTAATCTTCAGAAACAGTTTCTGAATCGTCGTGCACATGACATCTCTAATGAACTCAAGAACTTGTTTCAGAAACAAGCACGAATCGAAAGGTTCAAGACAACCAAAGTTTTGTTTCACACCAGGCTTACTGATGGGGCCCAGTTGGACCACACGTACTCAAGATGATTGGGTATAGGGACCACTTGGAAAGACTTGGATCTCCAATTAGTCAAGAGTTGGCTACTGATGTGATTCTCGCATCACTAACCCCGGCATATGACCGGTTCATCATGAACTATAATATGCATAGTCTTGAGAAGACCTTAACCGAGTTGCATGGAATGCTCAACTCTGGTGAGCAAAACATCAAGAAAAATCGGGGTGACGTTTTGATGGTCAAAAAGGGGAAGGGATTCAAAAAGCATGGTAAAGGCAAGGTTGGTGGAAACAAGAAATCCAAAAGCCTGGTTAATCCAAAAGCCTTTAAATCAGGTAAAGGCAAATCTGTTGCTAGCTCTACTTCTAAAGAAGAGCAAAAATGTTTCCACTGCAACAAAACTGCTCACTGGAAGCGGAATTGCAAGGCGTATTTGGAGGAACTGAAAAAGAAGGGGCATCATGATGCTTCCAATTCAGGTATCTATGTGATAGAAGTAAATGTTACTACCACTTCTTCATGGGTATTGGATACCGGTTGTGGTTCTCACATTTGTTTAAATGTGCTAAAACTGACAAGGAGTAGAAGGTTGACTAAAGGTGAAGTTGACCTACGAGTAGGCAACGGTGCAAAAGTTGCAACATTAGCAATAAGGACACTTACTTTGAATTTGCCAACAGGCTTAGTTTTAGAACTTGATAATTGTTATCATGTACCTGCCATTAGCAGGAGTATTATTTATGTTTCTTGTTTGGACAAGAAAGGATTTCATTTTATAATAAAGAACAACATTTGTTCTATTTATTTTAATGAGATCTTTTATGGTAGTGCTAGTCTTATAAATGGACTTAATATTCTAAACCTTGAAATGCCATCTATCACATAAATACAAAGTGGTTTAAATCTAAGGACTCAAACAAAACATACCCCTAGCATTGTAGACTAGGCCATATAAATGAGAAGCGCATTAAAAGACTCCATTCTGGTGGATTTCTTGACTCTTTTGATTTTGAATCAATCGAGAAATGTGAATCTTGTTTATTGGGTAAAATGGCCAAGCCATCATTTACTGGTAAAGGTGAAAGAGCTCACGGTTTATTGGATCTCATACACTCGGATGTATGTGGGCCAAT